AGCATTTTGGGCTAAACACCCCTACTCGTCCATTCGTCCACTGATCTCTTGCAGAGGCTGCGCTACGCTCTGATACCAAAACGCTGCGTTGAGGTCGTCGGAGACCGGAAGCTAGGGCTCTAATCGTGGGCCGATTTTCAAATTCAAGCAGTTTATTCGATTGCCTATGCCACCGCTTCCCCCTCTCGATCTCTATTGGGTACTTGGCTTCATTTTTTTTTTCTACGTGAAATTAGTGACCTTCTCTTTTCCACTTGAATTTTTGTTTTTTATTTAAGTATTTGAAAAATTATATAAAGTTCGTAGTTTTAAGGGATTTGACTACTTTTTGGTTGGTGAGCTCCATGTTCTTGCGTTTAGTTACAATACTAGGAGTTGGATATCATTTTACTGACGGTTCACTGTCTAAATGTGCATTCTAGAATTGGCAAGTAATTTCGGATGTGATGTTTTTTTTTTTCTTAATCAAACAAGGAAGACGGATAATATGTGTATAGTATGAATTGCTTCTTGCATGGTGTATATATGTTGCCATTTTTTATTATAGATTTTTTGTGAATTGAAGGAGGGAGAGGGATGTGGATGAGTCTTTTTTTGTTGTGTTGGTTTCTGATTTTATTTATTATTATTATTATTTTTTTTTTTTAATTTTTGTGTGTTCAGTGTTCTGCATTGCTACCTGTTTGTGCATGCTTGGGGAGGGGGTGAGTAGTTGCTCTATTTTCGTTTTGGTAGTCCACTTTTTGTTTGGTTTTGCAGAGTAATACGGTGCAGCTTTTGGAGATAGCGTTGGTTCATGAAATGGATAAAGCACCTGACACACTGCAACCTTGCTCTGTTGACAGTCTGGTGGAATTGTTACCATCTGTTACCAGTCGTTCTTGTTGTAATGAGTTTGATAACCACACTAAATGTGGTCCACAAGGTATTTGTTTTGGTTGTAAGATTTGATTTCTTCTAGTGTTGTTGCCTCATGGCCTACTGGTACTGATGATATACTTTTTTTTGTGTATGAGAAGGTGTCAATTGCTCAAGGTCTGAGAAACCGGTAGATCGTCTAGTTATGTCTTTAGCTTCTGAGTGAATACAATCGGATAGTCAGACCAGTAGGTTTGGCGGGCCTACTATCCATCAGGATTTGAACAAATAAGTTTTTCTATCACAGGCTGGGCAGTTGCTCACGTGGGGTTCAGTAAATGTTTGATCTTGTTCTGTAAGGAACTCATTGTGCTCCCAGATATGTTTGATGAGAAGATGGTGGGACAAACTTCTGTAAGAGACTGTCCTTCAGTTTGAGGATTTATAAAGCTACTTCGAAGTCTCACAAAGGAAATCTATATATTGAATATGATGCCTCATTGGTGCAAGCAGTTGGTTTTTTTTGCTGATGTAGTGCCTGGGTTGTTTAGACCTGGATTTGAGTTTGTAAATAGCAATGTTGCAGTTGAGGGTAGTTTTGAGACCCTCATTCTGTTGCTACTAGAAGACTTTCTTGAACTCATTCGGGGTACTTTCGGCAACAACAGTGTTTTGCGTGGTAGCTTCCATACTAGACAATTTAGACTCATCTGTATTGAGATAGAACAAAGTCTGCTGCTAACCTGAAGCCCCCACTAGCTTATTTTCCACAATTGGTTGTTTCAATATTGATGCTCATTCACGACCTTAAGAGACAGATTAGTCTGGCTGTCATTTGGAAGGAGTTAGACACAGAACTTGATGGCAGTAGCGTCAATATTCTTGATTCCCCTAGATGCCTTGTTCATTCTGAGAAAGTCCTTTACCTCATAGCTACACATTTGAACATTGAGTGCAGATGATATAACAATGGATGGATGATCTGATGCATCTTATCTTTTTCTGTGAGTAAAACTGAGGCCAAAGGTGGAGAGGTCATATTCTAGTTGTGCAAAAACTACTTGCAGCTCTGAATTGAAAATGTTGTTTGCCATGAAGACGAAGCCTTTTTTGGAGACCTTTTCTATGAAGGTGGTCGTGTATCTACAGATGGATATGATCATCCAGCAGTTGTTGCTATCCAGCAGTTGTTGCTAACTCTAGCTCCATCTGGTTTTCATATTGAGATTCTTCTCATGTCATTTCACTTATCATCAGAAGAGGAAAAAGCATTACATGCAAAGTTAATATTTTCTGCTCGCAGAACAATTTGTGGTCCAATTTCGGTTTCCAACAGTACACATTGTCTTGCTGGGCTTTACTGGTTTAAAGTTTGATTTTAGTGGGTCGTCATATGATATTTTACCCACAGACTTGTCCTTCATCTTTGCTTGTCCACCTACGATCCAAGTTGAGGGACACTCCATACTCCAGCTCACAGCTTGGGGTGAACGATCATTTGTCATCTTGGGTCTCAATTGTATTTGAAAATATAATGACTGCATTGTTTGAAGAACAGCCTGACATCAGTCCTTGATTCATCAACTGATTGATATATCTGCCCTCCCTGCTTCGTTGTCCACAGACGGTTGTAATATTGACAGATTATGCTTGAGTTGGGATGACATATGTTCAATCATGTCATTGTCATCAATTCTGGGGTTCTGGAAAGCTAAAAAGGCTGCAGTTGTGGAGGATCCTGTTATTGAAAGATACATTTTCGTACTTTGTTGGGACTTACCAACTATTAGCACTGCAAAGGACCTTCAGCTTCCTAAAACAGACTCCTGGCACTTCTGAAATAGCAAATATCTTTTACTTCAGCCGTTCAATTCGAGGTCATCGTGGTGTTGATTTGAAAAATAATTTTCCTGAAGTCATTGTTCGTCTGCTTCATGTATCCAATTGTAGTTAATTGGACGAGACTTCAAATAGAATTGCCATGTAATATGTGTATAAACGTTAAAAGAGATTAAAAAGGAAGGTTTTTGGTTTTTTTTGGCATAAAAAAATGTCGTTGTTTTAGGAAGGGGAGGCGAATTTAAAGTCTTCCCAATTTTTAGCGGCGGTTTTCTGAGTCGTAGATAAAAACTCCTATTGCTGCAGTTAGCGACGGTTTTTTCCGGAGCTAAAGTAGTTTTGCATTTAGAGGACAATTAAATCGTCACTAAAAGTTCAAAAACCGGAGCTAAAGTATAAAAACCGCCGTTGAAAGTTAAAAAACCGCCACAAAAAAACAAGAACGTCTCATTTTCCCTGATAAACTGTTTTTCCTTCCTTTCTTCTTTTTTTTTGGGGTACAGCAGCAAAGTCAGTCTAGAAGGAGTTGTATGTTTGTACTAGTCACTCTTAATTATCGTCATCAATATTAAACAGGTTTGTCTACAAAAGAGATCATTTTCATTTGTTTCAAGTGTTTGATCTTTGGGTCTTGCTTCTTGTCTTCTTATCTTCTAAGCTCTAGCTTTTCATTTGTTTAAAGTGTTTGAAAGTCACACATGAATTACGATTCTCTGTTGTTTTCCATATATGAATTTAATAAACTCCATATTTGAAACATTAGGTGAAAGCTTTAAGCATGCCTACTTGGTACTTGCAAAAGTTGGATGAGATTCATGCTAACTCTTTTGTTTGTTGGCTTTTTCTTTTGGCTATGAATGAAGAACAACATAAGGAAACAAAACCGACAAACAACACTCAGACAATGTACAAGATGGTATAACACAACCAAATCCACCAACAATGTGCTTTGCAAAAATCAAACCCCATTTTCAAATTTATCAAAAACAATCAAACAAAATTCATTTAATCTGAAAGTGTGTCATATTTTATTTTTGATTAGCGAGCTTAGGTTTGTGATAGTACTCATCTCTTCTACTCTCAAGAACTCTAGTGACATCAAATTAAGATACTTTGTCTTGTCTTATTCTTCTTCTTCTTCCTTTTCTTCATTGATAAACTATGGTGAGCAAAATATTTATGCGCATGACAAGCTATTTGCCACACCAATTTTGTCTTCACCATGTTCCACAATATAAAGTTCGAACTCTTCTTCCCGTATATTTCGTTTTCGTGTCCAATTATAAATAACCTTTTTATATGTATTGACATGTAAAAACTCATTATTCAATCAATATCAAATTTCATTTTGCATAATTAGAATATATCTCCATGGAACAAAGTTGTAAGAATCTCAAATTGACCAAACCATGGGGAGCCTCGGTTTCTTGACCTAGGCCAAATCCTCCCATTAGCATTCCAATACTATTACCATTTTAGGCTTAAACCAGCCATGGCCTGGGCTAAACACCCCACTAGACATGCTCTTATAATTACTAATTGTGCTGCACATTTACAATGAGCAAGAAGCCTAATTTATGCTGCGTATTATAAGGCCTATTGTTGAGCTTATTTACACCCGATTCGCCCAAGGTGGTAGTAGCTGTCATGAGTGTTCGAATGTTATCTATTTACTTTATTTTAATTTTATGGTCTTCGTCAAAAGTTTATTTTGTCTCCTTCATCTTTCTTGGATGATAAGACATCCATCTTCCTTGAGATTTCTTTTTGTCAATCCATACTAGATTAAAAGAAAATAATTTTTTTTTCTTCTTCTTACATAATGATTTGAACACACTATGTTTTTTTTTGGGTCAAATATATAAATAATAAAAAATTAAAAAAAAAATAAAAAAACTATGTTTATTCTCATCCATTTATTCATCTCATGCCACTTCAACTAAAACTAATAGTTAATTCCTTCATTCATTTCGTACTCCAATCATGTGTTACAAATAAATTCAATTAATAATTTTACTCATTTGTTGTTGATAGCCGATATTACTTTTCTCTATCGAGAAGATAAATATCACTACATTAATAATGAATTGGTATTGCACTTTCTCTATCTAAACCACGAACATTTGAATTACAATGCATATCAATTATTAAAAAAAGTATTCCCAAGAATCACATTTGCTTGGGAAAAAAGCAAACTCTTTTCCATAATAAGTAAATAGTAAAAGCAAAAGCTCTCCTTAATTTGCTTTTTTACTAATTTGTTGCTAAATTCCTCGCGACCGCCTTAAAACATTTTTATTCCATAGACCCCTTTCATTTTTCAACCTCACTACCGACCCAAACACTCTTCTTCTTCTTCTCTCTTTCTCGCCTTTTCTCCGATGCACTAATTCTCACTTGTCTTTCACCCGATCGTCTCGTTCCTCATGGCCGAGGCCTTCGCCAAACTCGCCGAGTCTCTCTACTCGGAAAGCAAGCCCATCTCCTCTGCTGATCTCTTGCAGAGGCTGCGCTCCGACTCCGACTCCATCAGACCTGGCCTCGAGAACCTTTTTCTGATTCTTAAACGCGGCGTTGAGGCCGCCGGAGACGGGAAGCTAGGGTTCCAATCATGGGCCGATTCTCAAATTCAAGCAGTTTATTCGATTGCCCATGCCATCGCTTCCGCCTCTCGATCTCTATTGGGTACTTGGCTTCATTTCATTTTCTTCTACGTGAAATTAGTGGCCTACTCTTTCAGCTTGAGTTTCTGGTGCTATCTTTTGAATATAGAAGTAGAGTATATCAAATTACAAGTACTTGATTGTGGGTTGGTGCTAGTTTTCTCTGTATGCCTGTAGCTTCTAGCTGTTTTTTGCTTTTACATCTAAGTGGTTGTACTTTTTGCTAGTGGTAATAAATGTACTTAATTTCTTTGTAGTGGAGCAAGCGGAAGCAATAATTGTTGCCATTGTGCAACTGTCGTTGGAATTTGCTGTATGTTATTTGGAGAGATCAGAATTTAACAGCGAAGATATGAGCATTCAGGTTAGTGGTTCTTCTTTCCATATGATATGACTAGTTTAGTTTGAATGTTACCTCTGCTTAGCCGCATTAACAGCAAACATCAATTTGCTCTGTTCTCTTGTGTCTTGTGTGAAGGAGGGAGAGAGGGAGATAATTTTTATTTTCTCTCTGCCCCCTGTACCCAGATTTTTTTGGATTTATGGATTGGGTCCTCTTTTGTTGGGTTGGTTTCTGATTGTTCCAAAAATCCCTTTTTTTTTCTTTAATAAATAAATATTTTAATTTTTATGTATTTAGTGTTCTGCATTGCTACCTGTTTACACATGTTTGGGGAGGTGAGTAGTGGCTCTATCTTGTTTTGATAGTTCAATTCTTGTTGGTTTTGCAGAGTATTATGGTGCAGCTTTTGGAGATAGCGTTGGTTGATGAAACGGATAAAGCACCTGACACACTGCAACCTTGCTCTGTTGATAGTCTGGTGGACTTGTTACCATCTGTTACCAGTAGTTCTTGTGGTAATGAGTTTGATAACCACATTAAATGTGGCCCTCAAGGTGATTGTTTTGGTTGTAAAACTTGATTTCTTCTAGTGTTGTTGCCTCATGTCTTACTGGTACTGATGTTATACTTTTTATGCGTATGAGAAGGTGTCAATTGCTCAAGGTCAGAGAAACCGGTGGATCGTCTGTTTATGTCTTTAGCTTCTGAGTGCATACAATCTGATAGGCAGGCCAGTGGGTTTGGTGGGCCTACTGTCCACCAGGATTTGAACAAATTGGTTTTTCTATCTCAACATTGGGCAGTTGCTCACGTGGGGTGTATTCAACGTTTGATCTTGCTCTGTAAGGAAATCATTGTGCTCCCAGATATGTTTGATGAGAAGATGGCTGGGACAAACTTCTGTAAGAGGCTGTCTTTCAGTTTGAGGATTATAAAGCTACTTGGAAGTCTCACGAAGGACATCCCATATATTGAATATGATGCCTCATTGGTGCAAGCAGTTGGTACTTTTGCTGATGCAGTGCCTGTGTTGTTTAGATCTGGATTTGAGTTTGTAAATAGCACTGTTGCAGCCGATGGTAGTTTTGAGAGCCTCACTCTGTTGCTACTGGAAGACTTCCTTGAACTCGTCCGGGTTACTTTCTGCAACAGCAGTGTTTTCTTGAATGTTCAAGTCTGTGTGGTAGCTTCCATACTAGATAATTTAGACTCTTCTGTATGGAGATATAACAAGTCTGCTGCTAACCTGAAGCCCCCACTGGCTTATTCTCCACGAATTGTTGTTTACATATTGATGCTCATTCACGACCTTAAGAGACAGACTAGTCGGGCTGTCAATTGGAAGGAGTTAGACACAGAACTTGTTGGCAGTAGCGTCAATTTTCTTGATTCCCCTTCATGCCTTGTTCATTCTGAGAAAGTTCCTTTACTTCACAGGTACACATTTGAACATCTAGTACAGATGATATTCCCTTCCTCAAAACAATGGATGGATGATCTAATGCATCTTATCTTGTTCCTTCATTCGGAGGGAGTGAAACTGAGGCCAAAAGTGGAGAGGTCATATTCTAGTTGTGCAAAAACTACTTGCAGCTCTGAATTGGAAAATGTTGTTTGCCATGAAGACGAAGCCCTTTTTGGTGACCTTTTCTCTGAAAGTGGCCGTGGATCTACAGACGGATATGATCAGCCACCAGTTGTTGCTAACTCTAGCTCTAGCCAGAGTAATATGCCGATGGAAGCTGCTACAGAACTGTTGAGGTTTTTTAAAGTGTGCATCTTCTCCCCTGAATGGCATCCATCTGTTTTTGAGGATGGCTGCTCAAAGCTTAGCAAAAGCCATATTGATATTTTTTTGTCCTTACTCCACAGTCAGGGATGTGCTGAGGAGAGGAGTGCTGAGGGCTATTCTCTATCACATGAAGAGAGAAAGATTGGGCATGCCCATGAACTTTGTTTTGATTTGTTTCAGGACCTTGTCACACGCCATGCTTTATCTGATTCACTGGAAGAGTACTTTGTTGAGAAAGTTTTGAATGTTGAGAATGATACTTTTGTTTACAATAATCAGACCCTTACCTTGCTAGCTCACACCCTTTTCTGTAGGGTGGGTTTGGCTGGCAGCCGGTTGAGAAACCAAATTTTCAGGGGGTTTGTGGATTTTGTCACTGAGAAGACAAAAGCTATTTCTTTAAAATGCCCTAGCTTTAAGGAGCTTCTTGAGGCCCTTCCATCTGCTTTTCATATTGAGATTCTTCTTGTGGCATTTCACTTATCGTCTGAAGAGGAAAAGGCATCACATGCAAAGTTAATATTTTCTGCTCTCAGAACAATTGGTGCTCCAGCTTCGGGTTCCAACAGTACACATTTGTCTTGCTGGGCTTTACTGGTTTCAAGGTTGATTTTAGTGCTTCGCCATATGATATTTTACCCACAGACTTGTCCTTCATCTTTGCTTGTGCATCTACGATCCAAGTTGAGGGAAGCTCCATACTCCAGTTCACAGCCTGGGGTGAACGATCATTTGTCATCTTGGGTCTCAATTGTATTTAAAAATGTAATGACCACATGGTGTGAAGAAGAGCCTGACATCAGTCCCTTGATTCATCAACTGATTGATATGTCTGCCCTTCCTGCTTCGCTGTCCACAGACAGTCTTAATATTGACAGATTATGCTTGAGTTGGGATGACATCTGTTCAACCATGTCATCAATTCTGGGGTTCTGGAAAGGTAAACAGGCTGCAGTGGTGGAGGATCTCATTATTGAAAGATACATTTTCGTACTTTGTTGGGACTTTCCAACTATCGGCACTGCAACGGACCATCAGCTTCCTTTAGGGAGTGATCCACAGACTCTTGACACTTCTGAAATAGCAAATTTCTTTTACTTCAGCCATTCAATATTAGGTCATCATAGTGTTGGTGTGAAAAATAATTTTTCTGAAGTTATAGTTCATTTGCTTCAGCACTTAGACGCTGAACTTGTACCTGAATACATTGAGGAATTAGGCTGGGGTTTTTTGAGAAATGCAATGTGGTTGTCTTTGGCACTTTCCTTGCTTGATGTTGGCATCTGGAGGTATGGTGTGAAGAATAGAGTCACAGGAGTGGGTTCAAATTGGATAGAGAACACGTCTAAGGACAATGAGTATATTGCTGTTGCTGAAGGGATGATTTCTTCTTTGATGGATGCTGGTCAAGTTTCAATGTTGTTTAAGATATTTTCATCTTTGTTGAAAAGATATTTACAGGCTTATCAGAAAGCTTTTGTTGCTACGTTTGGTAATAGCCAGAAGGATGCTGATGGGTTTTCACCACTCTTGCTCTTTAAACATTCAGGATTTGACAGATGCCTTCAGGATGAGCTTGAAAAGACTGGCACTTATTCTTTTCGTCTGGAGTCTGTTCTTGACCTGTTGGTAAAGTTTGATGCTATTATTGATAAAAGAGCTGCAGGAATTTTGTGCAGGGTCTCCTGGGAATGTATGTTACATGGTTTCCCATTTAATCTTCAGACTCATAGTGGAATTCTTCTTTCTTGCATTTTTAACATAAGAGGGATAATTTCCATTCTTGTTGGTTTGCTTAAAATAAAAGATGTGATGGGAAATGTCGGCGTGGATATTGAGGTACTTCGTCAAATTCTTGATACAGTTGTGACAATCAAGTTTGATAGGATCTTTGAAAGCATTCACGGGAAATGTGAAACCATTTATGAAAGCTTGAGTGCAGGCTTGGGAGGGTCAGACTATGCCAATTTAATTCTATTAGCTCACTTGGAGGGTTTTCTAAAGGACATTAATGCCAGAGGAGTAAGCGACAACAGCATTTATGAGTGCATAATCACCAAGGCTATTGATATGATGGATAGCCTTAGAAAAGACCCTACAAAGGTTGATATTTTTAAGTTCTATCTTGGAGTAGAAGATGTCCCAGAGCAGGTGAAGACGCTTTTCGGCGTGCAGCGTGGTGATTTACTGGTTCTAATTGACGCTCTACATAATTGTTACTCTGAGACAGTTAACATAAAGGTTCTTAGCTTTTTTGTTGATCTGTTAACTGGAGAGCTGTGTCCTGATCTTAAACACAAGATTCAAAACAAATTTCTCAGCATGGACTTACTTTTGCTTTCCATGTGGTTGGAGAAGAGGCTCTTAGGTTGTGTTATGGAAGCTTCAGGTGGAGTTAACAGTGCAAAAGGAAGTTCTCTCTCTCTCAGGGAGTCGACCATGAACTTTATTTTATGCATTGTATCGCCACCTTCTGATTTGAAATCAACAGAACTGCAGAGTCATATTTTTGAAGCTGTGCTGGTCTCCCTTGATCCTGCATTTTTGAAATTTGATATTCATGTTGCCAAATCATTTTTCCATTTTGTTGTTCAGCTATCAAAGGGTGATGCTTCAGTGAAATTACTTTTAAAGAGGACCATAATGCTGATGCAGAAGCTGACTGGCAATGATTGCCTGCTACCAGGCCTGAAGTTTCTATTTGACTTTTTGGGAAGTGTCTTAAGTGATTGTGGGTCTGGGAAGAATACCCCAGAAAAGTCGTCAGGAAAATCTCTGCCTGGAAATACTTTTGGTATGGGACCTATGGTTTCAAGGCCAGTAGGTTCAAGGAAGAACTCCGAGACATTGGTCCTTTCTACTAATGAAGAAGGTGGGTCCATCGCTCTTGAGTGTGATGCAACTTCTGTAGACGAGGATGAGGATGATGGAACTTCTGATGGTGAGGTGGCTAGCCTGGATAAGGATGACGAAGACGATACTAACAGTGAAAGGGCCCTTGCTTCTAAAGTTTGCACATTTACTTCTAGCGGTAGCAATTTCATGGAACAACACTGGTACTTCTGTTATACATGTGATCTGACTGTCTCAAAAGGCTGTTGCTCTGTGTGTGCAAAAGTTTGTCATCGTGGTCATCGTGTTGTTTATTCTCGCTCTAGTCGTTTCTTTTGTGATTGTGGAGCTGGGGGTGTTAGAGGCAGCAATTGTCAATGCCTAAAGCCACGCAAGTACACTGGAAGTAGTAGCACCCCCATCCGTAGTACTAGTAATTTCCAGTCCTTTTTACCTTTCACAGAGGATGGAGAGCAGCTGCCAGAAAGTGATTCAGATCTTGATGAGGATACTAGTACCGATGTAGATAACTCTCTCAGACTATCCATCCCAAGAGAGCTTCAGGATGGGATCACACCGTTGCTTGAAGAACTTGATGTTGAAGGTCAGGTGCTCGAGCTTTGCTCTTCATTGTTCCCCTATATAACTAGTAGAAGAGAGTCCAACTTGTCAAAAGATAACAAGATCATTCTTGGTAAAGACAAGGTGCTTTCTTTTGGTGTTGACCTCTTGCAATTGAAGAAGGCATATAAAAGCGGGTCCTTAGACCTGAAAATAAAGGCAGACTATTCCAATGCCAAGGAACTTAAATCACATTTAGCTAGTGGTTCTCTTGTCAAATCCTTGCTCAGTGTCAGTATTCGAGGTCGACTTGCTGTTGGTGAAGGTGATAAAGTTGCTATATTTGATGTTGGGCAGTTGATTGGACAGGCCACCATTGCACCGGTGACAGCAGACAAAACCAATGTTAAGCCCCTCTCCAAGAATGTTGTTCGATTTGAAATTGTGCAGCTTACTTTCAATCCAGTGGTGGAGAATTATCTTGCAGTAGCAGGCTATGAAGATTGTCAGGTCCTCACCTTGAATCCTCGTGGTGAAGTGACTGATCGTCTTGCCATTGAACTGGCACTGCAAGGTGCATATATCAGACGGGTTGATTGGGTTCCAGGTTCTCAGGTTCAATTAATGGTGGTTACCAACAGGTTTGTCAAAATATATGATCTATCTCAGGACAACATCAGTCCCATACACTACTTCACACTGCCAGATGATATGATTGTGGATGCAACACTTCTTTTGGCAACTCTAGGGAGGATGTTTCTTATTGTTCTTTCAGAAAATGGAAGGCTATTCAGGCTAGAGTTGTCAGTGGATGGTAATGTTGGGGCTACACCTTTGAAGGAAGTAATCCAGATACAGGATAAAGAGATAAATGCGAAGGGTTCATCTTTGTACTTTTCATCAGCGTACAAATTACTTTTCCTATCCTATCAAGATGGCACTGCTTTGGTTGGTCGGCTAAGCCCCAATGCCACATCTCTAAGTGAGATATCTACTATATACGAGGAGGAACAAGATGGTAAACTGCGGTCTGCTGGACTTCATCGTTGGAAGGAATTGCTTGCTGGCAGTGGGTTATTCGTTTGCTTCTCTGAGATATCTACTATATACGAGGAGGAACAAGATGGTAAACTGCGGTCTGCTGGACTTCATCGTTGGAAGGAATTGCTTGCTGGCAGTGGGTTATTCGTTTGCTTCTCAAGTATAAAATTAAACTCTGCCATTGCAGTATCGATGGGATCACAGGAGTTATTCGCACAGAACTTGAGACATGCAGTGGGTTCGACTTCACCTCTTGTTGGAGTAACAGCTTATAAGCCTTTATCCAAAGATAAGATTCACTGTCTTGTTTTGCACGATGATGGTAGCCTTCAGATATACTCACATGTTCCAATGGGAGTCGATGCTGGTGCTAGTGTAACAGCAGAGAAAGTCAAAAAATTGGGTTCCGGCATTCTCAGTAATAAGGCTTATGCTGGTGTTAACCCTGAATTTCCACTTGATTTTTTTGAGAAAACAGTGTGCATAACAGCAGATGTGAAATTGGGTGGTGATGCCATCAGAAATGGTGATTCTGAAGGGGCTAAGCAAAGCTTGGCCTCTGAGGATGGCTTTCTAGAAAGTCCAAGCCCTACGGGATTTAAGGTAATTGTTGCAAAAGGGTCTAGTGACCTGGCGTACATGGCATGCATGCTTAGTCTAGTTTCTGGTGTTCATCTCCTTTCTCCTTTCTTACATGGCATGCTTAGTCTAGTTTCTGGTATTCATCTCCTTTCTTGTTTCTGGTTTCATCTCCTTTCTTCCGCTTGTTCCTAATCCTCTCTGTTTTCAGTTGTATCTATTGTAATGAAACTTGCTTTCATATTTAACTTAAAATACTATGGTTCTAACATTGTTTCTTTTTCTGCCTCAGATATCTGTCTTCAATTCAAACCCTGATATCATCATGGTTGGGTTTCGCGTGCATGTTGGTAGTACATCGGCAAACCATATACCTTCAGACATTACTATTTTCCACCGGGTCATTAAATTAGATGAAGGCATGCGGTCTTGGTATGATATACCATTTACAGTTGCTGAGTCGCTCCTTGCTGATGAAGAATTTACAATCTCTGTTGGACCAACCTTCAATGGATCTGCTCTGCCTAGAATTGACTGCCTTGAAGTATATGGTAGAGCCAAAGATGAATTTGGTTGGAAAGAAAAGATGGATGCTGTACTTGATATGGAAGCTCGTGTGCTTGGTTGTAATTCCTTGCTTTCAGGATCTGGGAAAAAACGCCGATCAATGCAGTCTGCTCCTATACAGGAGCAGGTCATAGCAGATGGTCTTAAGCTTCTATCCAGGATTTATTCATTGAGCAGGTCTCAGGGTTGCTCTAGAGCTGAGGAAGTTAATCCGGAGCTAATGGAACTGAGGTGCAAGCAGTTATTAGAAAAAATATTTGAGAGTGACCGAGAGCCCTTGTTGCAGGCTGCTGCTTGCCATGTCTTGCAGGCTGTGTTCCCCAAAAAAGATACCTACTATCATGTAATTACCCACTTTTGATCCATACGATACATAACATTTTTTCTTGCAATGCATGATCGTCCTTATTTGTGCATTAGTAAATGAAGAAATGTGTTGTTTAATCAGTAATTGACATCTCCTCCTTCAGGTTAAGGACACCATGCGGCTTCTTGGGGTGGTGAAGTCGACCTCTGTACTCTCTTCAAGGCTTGGGGTTGGTGGTACTGCAGGGGCATGGATAGTTGAAGAGTTTACAGCCCAGATGCGGGCAGTATCTAAGATTGCATTGCACCGTCGCTCAAATCTGGCTACTTTCTTAGAGAAAAATGGTATTCCACACATTCTCTGATGCCCCAAGTTGTTTACATGTTTAAGACTTCACATTCTCTTGTGGTGGATGTAGTATATGTTCCTTAAGTAGTAACCACATCATAAAAGTATGTGTCGTAGATGGTACCTCAACCTATTACGGGAATAGAAACTGAGTGAATCTCGTTGCCTAAATTCCTCAACTTAGTGAGCTCTGATAATGCTGAGGTTCTTTTCCTTGCTGTATATTAACTTATCAAATTAATGTGTCTTACCTGTTCACTGATTTCTTTGAGATTGGTGATAACTAGCTGTAGCTTATTCATGCCATATTTACATGGCATTGGTGGTACAGTTTATTTTTTGTTCTTCTTGCAGCCTAGTTATAATGTATGAATATCCAATTTATATACAGATTATTGTTTTTCCTTTTAGTTATTTGTACACAATTTTATGATACAGTACTTCCCATAAGATTTGATCAAGTACATTTTGCATTATTTCATTTGTAGTTTCTTCTTGTGCATGAATCATATAGAGGGTTGAATCAACTTACTTGATGTTCTATTGTAATGCCTACCTATATCGGTTTTACGCTGTATTATTAGGTACTTTTCTGACATTCTAAAACAGCAGTTCTTTTTCATGTTAATAATATTTTGATTTTTTCCTATGCCTGACTGGGTTTTGTTGGAATGTTACTGTGGCTTGAGCTTTGTTAATTTTTGTACAGACATGGGCTGATTGTTGTTGTCTTTGAAGTAGTTATTTAAAAGGGGAAAAAGGAGATGATCTTTTAGAAAGTATTATGATTTTATCCATATTGCTGCCATTTTGTTAACTTGTACAGCTTGACCCTTAAGTGATTTTATCCATATACACAATTCTTTAACTGGTGTTGCAAGTTTATACATATGTAATGGTTTTTTCTTTTCTTCAGATCATTTACTGTCTTTTTTATTTTTCTTTAACCATTTTGTTATCTTGGGTTGCTTGCTCCACTCATCCTTTTAAATTAAAGGATCTTTCTTCCCATCCCTGATGTAGGTTCTGAAGTTGTGGATGGGCTTATTCAAGTTCTGTGGGGAATTTTGGAATTAGAGCAGCTTGACACACAAACAATGAACAACATTGTCATATCTTCTGTAGAACTCATTTATTGTTATGCTGAATGCCTGGCTTTGCATGGAAAGGATACAGGGGTACAATCTGTTGGACCTGCTGTTGTACTATTTAAAAAGCTTCTCTTTTCGCCCAATGAGGCTGTTCAGACCTCAACCAGGTAGTAAATTGTTATTATTACTTCATGGCGAGTTCAACTTATTTTTTAGTTTTTTCAGTTATTCACATGTACTACCATTTTCTTTCCAGCTTGGCTATATCATCAAGGTTGCTTCAGGTTCCATTTCCCAAGCAAACTATGTTGGCCACAGATGATGCTGCAGAAAATGCAGTATCTGCCCCTGTGCATGCTGACACAACTGGCGGAAATGCCCAAGTAATGATTGAAGAAGATTCCATCACTTCATCTGTTCAATACTGTTGTGATGGTTGCACCACTGTTCCTATACTTAGACGGCGTTGGCATTGTACTGTTTGCCCCGATTTTGATCTGTGTGAGGCATGCTATGAAGTTTTGGATGCAGACCGTCTCCCTCCACCTCACTCTAGAGATCATCCTATGACAGCAATACCCATTGAAGTGGAATCACTAGGGGGAGATGGCAATGAGTTCCACTTCACACCAGATGATGCAAGTGATTCAAGCATATTGCCAGTAACTGCAAATTCGAGGACCCAGAATTCTGCTCCATCAATTCATGTCCTCGAGCCCAATGAGTCTGGGGAGTTTTCTGCTTCAGTGAATGACCCGGTTTCAATTTCTGCTTCGAAACGAGCTTTGAATTCCTTGATTCTCTCTGAGCTTCTTGAACAATTAAAGGGATGGATGCAGTCAACATCAGGGGTCCGGGCAATTCCTATTATGCAGCTCTTCTACAGATTATCTTCTGCTGTTGGTGGACCGTTTATAGACATCTCAAAGCCTGAAAGCTTAGATTTAGAGAAATTAATTAGGTGGTTTCTGGATGAGCTTAATCTTAACCAAGCCTTGGTTGCGAAAGCCCGCTGTTCATTTGGGGAAGTTGCAATACTTATATTCATGTTCTTTACCCTGATGCTACGAAACTGGCACCAGCCTGGCAGTGATAGTTCCATGCCAAAACCTAGTGGGACAGCAGAAACGCATGATAAAAGCATCATCCAGATCTCGCCGTCCACCTCAGTTGCTGCTTCATCTTCCTTGGATGATCAAGAGAAAAATGACTTTGCATCCCAGCTGCTTCGAGCTTGCAATTCCCTTAGGCAGCAGTCTGTTGTGAATTACTTAATGGACATATTGCAGCAGCTAATGCATGTTTTTAAGTCCCCTTCTGTTAATTATGAAAATGCAGGACCTGGTTCTGGCTGTGGAGCTCTGTTAACAGTTCGAAGGGATGTTGTGGCTGGTAATTTTTCTCCTTTCTTTTCAGACTCATATGCAAAAGCCCACCGTACAGATATTTTTATGGACTACCATAGGTTGTTGTTGGAGAATACCTTTCGGCTGGTATACACTTTGGTCAGACCTGAAAAGCAAGACAAGACTGGAGAGAAAGAGAAGGTGTCAAAGATCTCCTCTGGCAAGGATCTGAAGCTCGATGGATATCAAGATGTCCTGTGCAGTTACATTAACAATCCTCACACGACTTTTGTGAGAAGATATGCAAGGCGACTTTTCCTCCATCTCTGTGGAAGCAAAACTCATTATTATAGTGTGCGAGACTCTTGGCAGTTTTCAAGTGAGATGAAAAAACTTTTCAAACATGTGAACAAATCTGGTGGGTTTCAAAATCCTTTGTCATATGAGAGAAGTGTTAAGATAGTTAAATGTCTCTCTACTATGGCTGAAGTAGCTGCGGCACGACCTCGGAACTGGCAGAAGTACTGTTTGAGGCATTCAGATTTTTTGCCATTCTTGATAAACGGAGTGTTCTATCTCGGAGAAGAGTCAGTTATTCAGATTTTGAAGCTGTTGAATCTTTCCTTCTACGCCGGAAAGGATATTGGTCATTCATTACAGAAAAATGAAGCTGTGGATTCAGGTATTAATTCAAACAAATCAGGGTCACAATCTCAGGATCCCAAAAAGAAGAAGAAAGGTGAGGAAGGAACAGAATCTGGTTTGGACAAGTCCTATTTGGATATGGAGTCGGTGATAGATATCTTCAGTGACAAGGGTGGAGATGTCTTGAAGCAATTCATTGATTGCTTTTTGCTGGAATGGAATTCTAGCTCCGTGCGTGCAGAGGCCAAGTGTGTTCTTTTTGGTGTTTGGCATCATGCTAAGCAATCATTCAAGGAAACTATGATGATGGCTCTCTTGCAGAAAGTAAAATGTCTACCAATGTATGGTCAAAATATTGTTGAGTATACTGAACTTGTCACATGGTTGCTGGGTAAAGTACCAGATATCAGCTCAAAGCAACAGAGCAGTGAACTTGTTGATCGATGCTTAACACCTGATGTAATCAGATGCATCTTTGAAACACTTCATTCACAAAATGAGCTTTTAGCTAATCATCCAAATTCCCGCATATACAACACTTTAAGTGGATTAGTTGAATTTGATGGGTACTATCTTGAGAGTGAGCCTTGTGTTGCCTGCAGCTCTCCCGAGGTACCATACAGCAGGATGAAGCTAGAAAGTCTGAAATCTGAAACAAAATTCACTGACAACCGCATCATAGTGAAATGTACTGGGAGTTACACCATCCAGACTGTGACCATGAATGTTCATGATGCACGGAAATCTAAATCAGTGAAAGTTTTGAACCTGTATTACAATAATCGACCTGTGGCTGACTTGTCAGAATTGAAGAATAATTGGTCTCTGTGGAAACGGGCCAAGAGTTGTCATCTTGCTTTCAATCAGACTGAGCTTAAAGTGGAGTTTCCCATTCCAATAACAGCTTGTAACTTCATGATTGAGCTGGATTCCTTTTACGAAAATCTTCAGGCTTTGTCTCTTGAACCATTGCAATGCCCACGTTGCAGTCGACCGGTCACTGATAAGCATGGTATATGCAGCAATTGCCACGAGAATGCATATCAATGCAGGCAATGCCGCAACATTAATTATGAAAATCTGGATTCCTTTCTCTGCAACGAGTGTGGCTATAGTAAATATGGTAGATTTGAGTTCAATTTCATGGCGAAGCCAAGTTTTACTTTTGATGACATGGAAAATGATGAAGATATGAAGAGAGGGTTGGCTGCTATAGAAACTGAATCAGAAAATGCTCATAGGAGATATCAGCAACTTTTAGGATTCAAGAAGCCCCTCCTTAAGATTGTTTCAAGTGTTGGCGAGAATGAAATAGATTCGCAACAGAAGGATTCTGTTCAGCAAATGATGGTCTCCTTACCTGGGCCTGCATGTAAGATTAACCGAAAAATAGCTCTTCTTGGTGTCCTATACGGTGAGAAGTGCAAAGCAGCTTTTGATTCTGTCAGCAAAAGTGTTCAGACACTGCAAGGATTACGCCGGGTTTTGATGAATTATTTGCACCAGAAACGTGCAGATAGCGGAGTGGCTGCTTCAAGATTTGTGGTTTCCAGGTCTCCAAATAATTGCTACGGCTGTGCTACTACGTTTGTGACACAGTGTCTAGAGGTATTACAGGTGCTGTCAAAGCATCCAAGTTCCAAGAGACAACTTGTTGCTGCTAGCATCTTAACAGAACTATTTGAAAATAACATTCATCAAGGTCCTAAAACGGCTCGTGTGCAAGCTAGGACAGTTCTTTGTGCATTTTCTGAGGGTGATATAAATGCAGTGACCGAGTTGAATAGCTTAATACAGAAAAAGGTGATGTACTGCCTTGAACATCATCGCTCCATGGACATTGCTCTGGCCACCCGTGAAGAGTTGTCATTGCTGTCAGAAGTATGTTCGCTTGCTGATGAGTTTTGGGAATCGAGATTGCGTGTTGTTTTCCAGCTGTTATTTTCTTCTATCAAATTGGGTGCTAAGCATCCTGCCATTTCTGAGCACGTTATTCTTCCTTGTCTGAGGATTATATCTCAGGCATGTACTCCTCCAAAACCTGATGTACCAGATAAAGAGCCTAGCATGGGAAAAGCTACTACTGGTTCGCAGAACAAGGATGAAAGTAATTCTATATCTGGATCTTTGGGTGGACTTGGCAGTGGGGGCAAGCCTACTCCAGAATCATTAGATAAAAACTGGGATGCATCACAAAAGACTCAGGATATTCAATTATTAAGCTATGCTGAGTGGGAGAAGGGAGCATCATATCTTGATTTTGTTAGAAGGCAATACAAAGTGTCCCAGTCTACTAAAGGTGGTAGCCAGAGGACTCGACCTCAAAGACAAGATTTCCTTGCTCTTAAATATGCACTCAGGTGGAAGCGGCGTACTAGTAAGACAGCAAAGAATGACTTATCAGCATTTGAGCTGGGGTCATGGGTTACAGAACTTGTTCTTAGTGCTTGTTCTCAATCTATAAGGTCGGAGATGTGCATGTTGATAAGTCTGCTCTGTGCCCAAAGTACATCAAGACGATTTCGGTTATTGAACTTACTAGTGTCCTTGTTACCAGCAACTCTTTCGGCTGGTGAAAGTGCTGCAGAATATTTTGAGTCACTGTTCAAGATGATAGATTCAGAAGATGCCCGTCTGTTTTTGACTGTGCGTGGATGCCTGGGCACAATTTGTAAACTAATTACTCAAGAAGTGGGCAATGTTGAGTCCCTAGAAAGGAGCATGCATATTGACATTTCACAGGGATTTATACTCCACAAGCTTATAGAGTTGCTTGGTAAATTTTTGGAGGTTCCAAATATTAGATCCAGGTACGATTGATTTCTTTGCTATTTTCTAATTTTTTTGCTTAACTGATTTCATTCTTGATATCTTACTTAATTCATCTTGATGTCAGATTCATGCGAGACAATTTGCTGTCGGAGATTCTTGAGGCTCTTATTGTTATTCGTGGCTTGGTAGTGCAGAAGACAAAGTTAATTAGTGATTGCAATCGGCTTCTAAAAGACCTTTTAGATAGCCTTTTGCTTGAAAGCAGTGAAAATAAACGGCAGTTCATTCGAGCCTGTATCTGTGGTTTGCAAAACCATGGAGAGGAGAGAAAGGGCCGAACTTGCCTGGTATGGACGAATTTATTGTTGTGCATTATGTACTATTTTCCAAATGATGATTTTAAATCGTTTTATAACCCATGAAAGTACTAATGTAGTGTCTTATTTATCCAGTTCATATTAGTTTTTTGTTTACTTCTATATTGATAAAAGTCACATACTTCTTGGGTTCTGCATAGTTTCTTCTACTGGTTTTCCCCATTCTCATTTTTGCATGTGTGTTTTAACATTTATCTTGTTTTATCTTTTCTTTTATTTGTAAGCATGGGATTCAGTTTTGTTTTCACCAAAATGTGTCAGCACTTATTTTCAATTATATGTACAGTTTATACTGGAGCAGCTCTGCAATCTCATCTGCCCTTCAAAGCCAGAGCCGGTGTATCTGCTGGTTCTAAACAAGGCACATACGCAAGAAGAGTTCATTAGGGGGTCGATGACAAAGAATCCCTATTCTAGTTCTGAGATTGGTCCTCTGATGCGTGATGTCAAGAATAAAATCTGCCATCAGTTGGATCTATTAGGTCTTCTTGAAGATGACTATGGGATGGAATTGCTAGTTGCTGGAAACATTATTTCTCTTGATTTGAGCATAGCTCAAGTCTATGAGCAAGTCTGGAAGAAGTCAAATCAATCTTCAAACGCCATGGCTAATACTACATTGTTATCCCCTAATGCTGTTCCATCAGCTAGAGACTCTCCACCTATGACAGTGACATATCGGCTTCAGGTTTGTTACATATGTTCTTATCTAATTATTTACTGAATAAAAGTGTGTTCACTGATTACTGTATCCTTCTAAATGACGAAGGAATCGCCTTTTTGCTCCATTCATTCCATCAGCTAGAGACTCTCCACCTATGACAGTGACATATCGGCTTCAGGTTTGTTACATATGTTCTTATCTAATTATTTACCGAATAAAAGTGTGTTCACTGATTACTGTATCCTTCTAAATGACGAAGGAATCGCCTTTTTGCTCCATTCATATGTCAATCTTTGATATATAGGAGTTTGGTCCTAAACTTACAATCAGATTGCAGAAACCAAATTCTAACAATGACGTATAAAATTCCATACAAAACTAAAGAAGTTCTTGCACTGACAAATCATTTAAAGCATAAATTTGAGATGATATAATTCACCTACAAATTCATTTTCTAGTTAAAGTCTGAATTAATCCATGACTTTAGCTAACATCTAAAGACAGGTACTCTCCATAATCTTTCAGCCAATTTAATCTTGGTTTTTACATTCAAATCCCTTGTTTAAATTTGTTCATCCAGATGCAACCTTACATCCTTTATTCCTAACAGATCTATGGTGTATCTCTAGTGTGACGTTTTTCTACTGACTTTGTTTTCTCCTACCATGATCTCTGTTTGATGTATCTTTTTGGCTACAATTGCCAGGGATTAGATGGTGAAGCAACTGAGCCTATGATAAAAGAATTGGAAGAAGATAGAGAGGAGTCACAAGATCCAGAGGTCGAGTTTGCTATTGCAGGTGCTGTTCGCGAGTATGATGGACTGGAAATTATATTGAGCATGATCCAGGTGTGTTGCATCTTGCATTTATTGTCCTTTCCAGATTTTGAAGAGCTCCTTTTTATTTTTTTGAGTCAAATTTATTCCCTTTATGTTGCAGTAAAACATAACTGTGTAAGATACATATTGAACTCCTAAGCATGTGGATTGAAAAAATTATTTCTTGGGAAATAGCTTTTATAAACCATCACTGACATTTGCGTTACTAACCTTTACTTTTGTCTTTTTGGGTCGGGGGTTATGGATTCTAAATCTAACAGTTGTCAGATTCCTTACATCCTCAATTTTTTTATTATTTAAAGAAAAGGGCAGTCTGGATGTTCAGTTGTTCTGTGGGTATAGTAACACTCCTTTAGTTAGATTTCCATGTCCAGGATTTACACTCCTTTCTTTCTATTTTGTTTTTCATTCCTTTGTTTTTGTAAGGGAATCCTTTTGCCACTCATTGTTGAAATATCTGACTTATAATATGAATGTACAGCGTTTGCGAGATGATTTCAAGTCCAACCAAGAGCAATTGGTAGCTGTTCTAAATCTCCTCATGCATTGTTGCAAAATAAGAGAGAACAGGCGGGCCTTGCTGAGGTTAGGAGCTTTAGGTTTACTTCTTGAAACTGCAAGACATGCCTTTTCTGTGGATGCCATGGAACCGGCTGAAGGCATACTTCTGATTGTTGAGAGTCTGACACTGGAAGCTAATGAAAGTGACAACATTAACATCACACAGAGTGCTCTTACTGTCACTAGTGAAGAGACAGGTGAACAGGCCAAGAAAATAGTCCTCATGTTTCTGGAGAGATTGTCTCATCCTTTGGGCCTTAAGAAATCAAACAAACAGCAGAGGAACACTGAGATGGTTGCAAGAATCTTGCCGTACTTAACATATGGTGAACCTGCTGCAATGGAAGCTCTTATCCTGCACTTCAGCCCACCCTTGCAAGACTGGAGAGAATACGATCGGCTGCAGAAAGAACATGAAGATAACCCAAAAGATGAGAACATCGCCCAGCAAGCTGCAAAACAAAGATTCACACTGGAAAATTTTGTAAGGGTCTCTGAGTCTCTCAAAACAAGCTCCTGTGGAGAGAGATTGAAAGACATTATTCTTGAGAGGGGTATTACTGGTGTTGCAGTTGGACATCTGAGGGATAGTTTTTCAGTAGCGGGGCAGGCTGGTTTTAAATCAACTACAGAATGGGCAATAGGCTTAAAATTGCCATCTGTTCCACTGATATTGTCTATGCTGAGGGGCTTGTCAACAGGACATTTGGCCACTCAGAAGTGTATTGATCAGGGAGGGATATTACCTTTGCTTCATGCTTTAGAAGGGGTCTCAGGGGAAAATGAGATAGGAGCGAGGGCTGAAAACTTGTTGGACACGCTTTCAAATAAGGAGGGAAAAGGAGATGGATTTTTGGAGGAGAAGGTGCAGATGTTGAGACATGCCACCAGGGATGAAATGAGACGTAGAGCTTTAAGGAAGAGAGAGGAATTACTTCTGGTAATTACCATTGACTTTGTTTTTTTTACCCAGCTTATCTTTAAATTAAAGGAAAGCAGGTGCCACTGTATCAAAGGTTTTAGTAGATCGATTAGTTTAGTTGCTTACAGTAATTCTTAAGTTAAATATACATAAAAAAGTTTCGTTACAATGTTGGGAAATGGGGTATCCTCCCCTGTTATTCATAACTTAAAACTTGAGTGTAATCTTCTTTGAGTCAGTGAGTGGAAGCTATAATACATTGTAAGAGGTGGTAGAAGGTTAGTTTGAAGATTATTTTGTTAGAATTAGGATAGCATCTAGTTGTGTTTGCATTTCTTTTCTTATTTGACCTTCCTGTTAGCATTAATATTATCTGTAAGCTGATAGTTACCTCTTTCTTCATAAACTCAGGGGCTTGGAATGCGACAGGAGCTAGCTTCAGATGGTGGTGAGCGTATTATTGTTGCTCGACCACTGCTTGAAGGTTTAGAAGATGTGGAGGAGGAGGAGGAGGATGGGTTAGCATGCATGGTTTGCCGAGAGGGTTACAGTTTAAGGCCTACTGACTTGCTTGGTGTTTACTCTTATAGCAAACGAGTGAATTTAGGTGCAGGGACTTCTGGTAGTGCTCGTGGGGAGTGTGTTTATACAACTGTTAGTTATTTCAACATTATTCATTTCCAGTGCCACCAGGAGGCAAAGAGAGCAGACGCTGCTCTGAAAAATCCAAAGAAAGAGTGGGAAGGAGCAACTCTCAGAAACAATGAATCTCTTTGCAATTCTTTGTTCCCTGTGAGAGGTCCATCTGTTCCTTTAGCACAATATATTCGCTATGTTGACCAGTACTGGGACAACCTCAATGCTCTAGGTCGTGCTGATGGAAGTCGTCTTCGGCTGTTGACATATGACATTGTTCTGGTATAACACTTTCATTTTCTTCTGTCTTGTTATTTAGCCTTTTTGTTGTGAAAGTCTTGTTCTTCCCTTGTGCATTGCATTTTCTCTATGTTTAGAAGATTGCATTAACAAAATGATTAATGTATACTGATGGTTTCCTTGATTAAACCTTTTGCATGATGTTAGGAATAATCTAAATTTAGGATAATGATATCACAAGAGCAATTTCATTTACTATCTTACATGAACTGATTAACTTGTGATGATGCTTCAAGTACCATGAGTATGAATGAGTTGCTTGAGGTGACCGCATCCATGTCTTTCTACTATGGATTGATTGGGCATCATAAATCTGACCCTAACATCTATGAACCTTTGTTATATAGATGCTAGCTCGATTTGCAACTGGGGCATCATTTAGTGCAGAAAGCAGAGGTGGTGGAAGGGAAAGCAACTCCAGATTTCTTCCTTTCATGATCCAAATGGCGCGTCACCTTCTTGATCAGGGAAGCCCATCTCAGCGTCATACAATGGCCAAGTCTGTGTCAACATATTTGACATCTTCTAGCTTAGATTCTAAACCTTCTACTCCTGAAAAACAACCGTCTCTGGGATCTGAAGAAACTGTCCAATTTATGATGGTGAATTCACTTCTCTCGGAATCTCATGAATCCTGGGTGCAACACCGCCGTGCCTTCTTGCAGCGTGGAATATACCATGCCTACATGCAGCACACGCATGGCCGGTCAGCAGGTCGCACATCATCCAGTTCATCGCCTATAGTCAAGATAGAGTCGGGAAATACAAGCCAAAGTCCGAGTGCAGAAATTGGGGGTGCTGATGAGCTTTTGTCCGTCATTAGACCAATGCTCGTCTACACTGGCTTTTGTCCGTCATTAGACCAATGCTCGTCTACACTGGCTTGATTGAGCAGCTGCAATGTTTCTTCAAGGTACAAAAATCAGCAAATCTTGCATTGACCAGAACAGAAGGTACTTCTACTGCATCAGAAGGGGAAGATGACAGTGGAAGCTTGGAAGGTTGGGAGGTAGTGATGAAAGAGCGACTTTTGAATGTAAAGGAGATGGTGGATTTCTCTATGGAGTTGCTGTCGTGGCTCGATGAGATGAGTTCTTCCAGTGATTTGCAGGAGGCATTTGATATAATTGGTGTATTAGCTGATGTGCTTTCTGGCGGCATTACGAACTGTGAGGACTTTGTGCGTGCCGCAATCAATGCAGGGAGAGGCTGAGGATTTTTATTAGACCTAGGGGCGTTGTATGTGTTGCTTGCTGTATTTGGCTACGGGGTTTAATTTTTTTGTAAAAATAGTGATGCCTGTGAATTACATAACCCCATATGTATTGAAGGGGTTCAAACTCCGCAACTCTCTATTCTGAGTTTGTTCAATACATATGACTCCCTGGTATAAAATTATTTTTCTCCCAAAAATCTATTATTTTCCAATTATTTCGTCCTCTTATCATGCCTGAATTGGGAGTTAATGTCAGAAGTTGCTTGCTGATCTGAAACCCACAAATTTTTCTATAGTTCAAATAAATATATAAAATACATATTTTTAATAATACGTAATGCTTGGCCTACCTGTTGACATTATGATCAAGCACCAGCAGTAGCTGGCAGTTGATCTTCCATATCGAGAAAGAATATATGAGTAACTAGTTCTACCTTTCTGCATCTTCATGACAGTAGCGCATTGTAAGCATAAAGGATTTTACATGTACAATAAAAAACAGTTTTCATACCGAAATATCATAATTTTAAAAAAAAAATTATACATTTCAACATGAAGATAAAAAAAACGTTGATAGTATTCAGCCACAAAAATGCCACATTCGGCGCTCAACAGCAAACCCTATGAGGTGTTTGATACATGATATACAATGCAAGATAAGAATTCGCTTCTCTTCTGCCACCAACGAAAGGTAACAAAGGAACCTTGAAATTAGCACACAAGTGACTCCTCAGTTCATTGCATCATAATCGTCCAACTTGTCATTGTACTCCAGAACCTTTCTCCTAATCTTTGATGAATCCACCCATGTAACGAAGTCTTCCATATTCCTTGTCACTAGGAATGCTGGGTCAGTAACAGTCTCTGGACCAACTCGGAGGTGCCCTTGCTCAATGTATGTGACAGCCTCCTTCAGGTGCTCAGCAAACTTCAATCGGACCACCACCGTTGAAAGCCTACGTCTATACACAGACATCGTCAGTAAAGTAACAAGAGAGGTGCATGCAAAAATTTGGATGAGAGTTCTTGTTCCTCCTTGTGTGTGGTAAGCCATCATGACTCACGAGAAAGATGTAAGGATTTTCATACTAAACTTAAACAAATTAGTATTACCCTCCAGGTAGTGCCAATAGCAATTGCAAAGGGAACCTCTTTTTTAATTTGTTGCAAACTTTTTGTCATTAGTTTATAAGAATTCACTCTCGCATTTTACCGTCAAGGTATGACAAGCAAGTCCTGTAATGGAGTAATTGAAAATTACCTGCAAAAGGATGACACGGATAAATGATCACACAATGCCAAGCTTTGTCTGGATGGTATCACACCGATATTGTACCTGTCATCAACACAAACCCTTCAACTATGAATCACACTTTAAAAACCACAGATGATACTAGATCTACCATTACCGCTGCAGTATTCTTGTACCATGCTTCTAAACAAAGATAAATCTATTGAATCTGGATCATGCAAAAGTCAAGCCATCTGCAACTAGAACCACTTTTGGTTTCAGTTCCTCAATAAATTACACAAGAGAATAATCCCAAAGACTTCTCTCTTTATATCAAACAGCAATGAAATACATTTGACTGCTTCAAATTTCTCATTTTCGACATCAACACTACAATCACCTACACATAACACATAATGTCCAGCAGAAAAAAAACTTTAAGAGCTAATTAACAAAAAGCTGGTAACTTGTTATGGGTTTTTACTATGCAGCTTTGAAAGATTAATACTCCTAAGTGAACATACCAATTCAAGTTTATTCAGCATCAAAAAACAAAAACAAAATTTGCAGTATACTCCCTAACAGAACAATTTCTGTAGCACGTAAATAAATAAATAACTCACAGCTTTTCCAATAGCATATCGGTCATTTCAATCCGAAAGGGGTCGTTTGGGTTCATCTGCTTCAATATGTTCACCAGCTTCTGCACCATCCGGCATAAACCCGAATATCTATTTTCCAATTTTCAATCGGGAAAAAAAACAAAGATTGAGGGACCAATAACACCATAAAAATGACATTAAATTTAAAAAATACAAATATTATATACTTTTTATAATCGTCGCGACCGGTGACATGGTAACGTTGCAGAACCTGGGCTTCTCTGTGACCTCCTTCTCTCTTCCAATCCAAGAAGTTCACTTTCTTCAACAGCTTCTTCTCATGAAACTTCAGCTTCCTCATGGTTGTTTTTCCGCAGAGAGACGCAGAGAGAGAGAGAGAGAGAGAGGTGCTAAAACCCTAGGATGAGGAAAAGAGTAGCTACTAAACCCTAATTTGGGAAGAAATAAATTGGGAGAGAGAGAGAGGTGCTAAAACCCTAGGATGAGGAAAAGAGTAGCTACTAAACCCTAATTTGGGAAGAAATAAATTGGGCCCACAATACCATGACTCATGAAATTTAACTACTTTGAGTTTCAGATTTAAAATTTGGGTTTGGCCTTTTAGAATTTGGGCTTTATGTTTCTGACCTAACTTCAGTAAGCCCAAAAAATTAAAGCCCATACCATAGAACCCTAAAATGTTCCCCATACTCCAAAATGCTATTTTTGCTAAAGACTCATTAAAATTCCACACATACAACCAATTTAATCTTGTACACTTCAATATTTGCTACCAAATTGGTCTAATCCCCTCATTTATTATAAATTATAATTACTCTGAAGAAATATTTATCTTTCGACAAGAGCGATATTCTAAACTACTCTAATGTGCGAAAAAGGTTGATCGAATTCAAATATGATGGGACGGGCACACTACCTTTGTTTGACCAACTAGTCTAACCTCCATTCGCCTAAAGAAACATTTATCATAGCGAAGATGATAGCTGTAAGAATTAATGCAAAAGAAACTATGAGGCCCATTTTATTTGACAGCTGAGAGGCCCTGCAAAGATCATTTACTGATCAACAACCAGTTCCTGAGTCAATTTGCCTGGACCATCTGACTATCACTTATCATTGGAGAGTAGAAACTCATGTCCATAAACACGCATAGTAATTCCACTCTCTCAGTTCACAAATAATGCACCAAAATAACGAAGGCCATCTTCGTACTTGACATCAGTGGATTTTGAGCAGATGCTAAATTCTCCATGAATGACATAAACATTGTGGTAATTAATGTACAGAGCTGCTCTTTTACAGTTTTACTTATCTATGTCTTTGATGAAGATAGAATCAAGGAAGTAAAGAACTAAAAAGACCACCACTACCCTCACAATATAATAATAACCCCATCATTGCTCTACTGATTATTTCACACAATCATTGTGATGATGAGCAATTATAATATTATAGCTTTCACTCCGTGACTATTAATACATCATGTGCGTGGACACAATAAAAAAAAAAAAAAAAACTTTATATGCTTAATTTTTTGGTGAAGTTTATTGTTTGCCCAAGACTCAGATGAGGGCACCGCTCAATTGTTTGTTGAAGCACAGCAAATACGAAGTTGTAGGATTATTTCACTTTTGGCCAAAAGATGCTGCTGCTGCTGCTGAATACCATGTTATTTATTGCATTTTCTTATTTGAGAGACCAAAATAAAGTGATATTCATGCAGGACGCAAATTGCTCTGTCAAATGACAGATACAATCAATCACGGGGGATTTGTCACAATTGCAAACTCCAAAACTGCATATCTTTCTCCAAACAAAAAGAAAAAACAGAGCATGACTTTGCTTTGACACGGCCAAAAGTGTCAGATGCTCTGTTTTCTTTAATTTATTTGTTGGTATTTTATTCATTTTAGAATAATTGGTCTCTCCATCTCATATAAAGGAGAAATTGCTCTACTGGTATAATGTCCACAAGTGGTGAGAGGACGTCAGTAGGACTCTGCCCATGCCAGTCACTAAAAGAAAGTTGCAAGTTGCCCATATCACTGATGGAATGCTGAACAATAGAATAGCAATGCAAACTCTGTTTTTTTCTTTTTAATTTCACACCAGAGTCAGCTGTAAAGAATTGTTAGATTCTATCTACCTATAACATTACCACATTGACATGAGCAAACAAAAAGGCCCAAATCTAGATTTGCTGTACCTTCTATCCAAATGGTAACCTATTATGACTCTTTTGGCACAAATTTTATAAGAAATGGCAACCTCATAGCTAGTAATATTTGGATGGTTAAAAATGTGTACTCTTGCTCACAATGATTGTATATTGAATAAGCTTCCATGATCTCATATGGTATACATTTCAGTTTTCTTATTCAACACATTATACACATTTGAAAGACTAATGTGAATGAAAAAAGTTGTAGTAGTTGGGTTAAATAATCAATCTTTCAAGTATAACTTCAATACCTCCATTTTACCACAATGGAATATTATCTAGAATGACAGTTTTTGCTTTCTTTTATTATTAATTTTATAAGTGTCAAAACATATTTGACAAAAACAAAACAAAACAATTACTTTAGTTATACGGCAAAAACAACTGCAGTGTAGTGCATCCATCAACTTTGGTGCGAAAATAATTACTAAATAAAGTATGGTGGTCTATCTACACTGTATTATCTCTCATGACTGCTGACTTGTAAATTTGTAATTAGATTATGGTTGCAAATCCACTTCCTCCCAACAAACAATAATCTAATATCAAAGAAAAAAAAACTAATATAAAAAACTTGGGTGAGTTGTATTTGTGTTCATCTATGTATCTATTACTACCATGTATGTATGTATTCTGGTGTTTAAAGCAGAAACGATAGTGATATCAGTGTTTATAAAAGTTTAATTATGTAAATAAAAACAAAATATAATGGGAAAAGGTGAAAAGAGTTCTAATTCTATAGGGTGAGAAATCCTAGTTTGGCCAGGCTTGCTATAAATGCGGTCACTATAAATGCGGTCACTTGAACCTTGATTGCAGGCTTTTTTCTGTTTCTGTTTCTCATTGATCCTCATCCTCTCTGTGCTTCTTTGCTTTCTCCAACCACATTCTACAAGTTTTCCGGCGACTCTCGCCGGAATATTGGCCGGAATCTTACCGGCAAATTAAGAGCAACTCAAAGTGATTATTGGGTTTGGAAAGATTAAGCGTAAAGTTGCATTCTTTGAAATCTTTGGAGAAGCTTTAGTTGAAATTTTCTATTTTTGCTTTCTGGGTTTTGATGAGTATTGGTGGAGGGTCATAGGTGAC